GAAACCCAGGCAAAGCGGGTCGCTAGAGCCGCGATCAAAAGTCCATGCGATAGTTCTCCTTACCATATTTATCAAATCACTGCAGGTATTTATCGTAAAGAAAACACTGTTTGGCAAATCGCCAACGTTACATTCACGTGATGTCTGCGTCAGACGATTCAGCTCTCTGACAAGGAGATGTAGCGCAGTCTGACCGTCACAATCTTGAGCGTTGAGGGGGCAACCGGCTTGTACCAGGGCCTGGAAAATTTATTTTTCTGTTTTCTACGGTCCTCTAGAACTTACTTGCACGCAAGCCAATCTGTCCATATCCTTATCTACAGACCCTTGCCATGTTTCCAAGGCCAGATGAAGTGCCGTTCGGCCAAGTTTTGAAAAACGATTGACATCAGCGTTCAGCTAAAATCATTTGGAATTTTGGGAAAACTCAAAAAGTATACTGATCTCAATGCTTTCCTTGTGCCGTACATCAAAAAGTATAATTTTGTAACGAAGCAGACAGGAAAAATAAGAAAATCTCAGAATGAGCTGTATCCTAACTCTTCTAGGACAGATACTGGGCAGAAAATTCGAATCTGACCGAATGATTACTATGGTCATCGGATTTGACCCTTATTTTTGCCGCTTTTTTCTCTTTCTTTTCCTTCTGTGATAATTAGAAATTCTGGCGACATTCTACCTCAATTAGTGATTCTGTACATTTTCTTCTACCATAAAAAGCTGCCAGTAACAATGGTGGAAATCCATTTCCAGTATCCGCGTTCAGTTGTTGTGGTCTCGATTGCATAATGAGTTCCATAGTTCTGAAAGTCCCCCTCGTAATTTGCTAAATCTTCATAAAAGGTTATGAAGCCCAAACTTGTAATAATCCTTAGAAATAGCAATATGGACAGGAGTGAGCTCATCTTCATTGTATAGATGTAGATTTAGCCTTGCATTTGCCAACAATCGTCCAACCATTGCGATTTTTGTTGGTGATTCGGGTAGAGCACAAACGATATGCATAGGACTGTCACCACTGGCGTTCTGGAAAATCTTTCGGAATTGGTTACGGTAGGTTATTGTAATCATTCTGAAACCTGGATATTGCTGTGAAGATGATTTGTATTCAAAAGTCGATCTAGACAGGCAGCATGTTGCCCTCTAGCGGCCAGATGCATGGGAGTATCGCCATCGGAATTCGGTCTGTTCACTTCGCTACCGAGGAACATCAGCAAACCTTCTAAGATCATCACATGGCCTCTGTAATCAATAATCAGGATTCCAAAAAGGGTCCTGAAGCGCTGGAAAGTGTAATCAGCCGTGAATGGGCTGAAGATGTTATGTTACCGATGGTCTCTGCCTTCATGAGCAACTGATACGAGTTACGGTGTCTAAGATGCATGATTTATGGCAGATGTCCGCGAGGGCGGTGCCTGTCGTCGACATAGTTTCTGCCCTCCGCGAGCCAACCAATAGCGTTACCGTATTCT